GAATTCATTTATTAAGTATATATCATGTATAGAAATTCAGTCTAGACTCCTTTTTGTTTAGCAAGCTATTTTCCTGTGGGGGGGAGCATCGTCTATAAATGCTTTTACTTTATGGATCCTGAGAGATCCCTGGTAATTTTCTATAACTTATAAAATCATCAGAACCAGTGTAACATTAGTATCACTCTGTTTTAAGATTTTGTAGAATCATAACATTTTTTTATTTGGAGTAGACGGATCCATTTACTCGTCTTCCTGTTCAGGGTTACCCAGCAGCTGGTGGGCCTCAATGGTTGGAGGCCTTAACTGAAAATTGGTTCAGTATGTAATTTTTTTTTTTTTTAAAGCAGTAGAAACTTCTGATAGCTTTCTGTAATTATACTTTAAAATAGTTTCACTGTCTATCCCATGGAAAGGTTACTTGAGTGGTAACTATTGCTGTGATTAGTGTCTCCATTAATTATGTAACAATCATTTCAGGTAAACTTTCTAAGCTAGTATATCCAAACAAGCCTTTTAAGTCTCGGGCCGCAGAACTTGTAAGTCACTCCACTGATTGAATGATGGAGAATTATAGAAAGTTGTCAAAAACTTCTCTTGAAACAATTCCAGTTTCTGCCAAAATTTGCAGGAGGGAAGGAGGGATGTGAAAACATTAGTCTGCAGTAGACAGTATTTTAATTGCTAGTGATTTTGTTTTTTTGTTTTTTTTTTTTTTTGAGACAGAGTCTGGCTCTGTTGCCCAGGCTAGAGTGCCGTGGCATTAGCCTAGCTCACAGCAACCTCAAACTCCTGGACTCAAGCAATCCTCTGCCTCAGCTACCCGAGTAGCTGAGACTACAGGCATGTGCTACCATGCCCAGCTAATTTTTTCTATATATATTTTTTAGTTGTCCAGCTAATTTCTTTCTATTTTTAGTAGAGACGGGGTCTCACTCTTGCTCTCAGGCTGGTCTGGAACTCCTGACCTTGAGCGCTCCACCCACCTCGGTCTCCCAGAGTGCTAGGATTATAGGTGTGAGCCACCACACCAGGCCTTGCTAGTGATTTTGAATGTCTGCTAAGTACGTGGCATTGTGGTAGGCATTGTAAGGATTCAAGCAAGATAGAATATATGATGAGAACTAAAAGTAGAAATGGACTGATGCTGATGTCTTAATAATTTATTTAGAAATGAATGGAATACATTCTATTAGTAAATGCTATTATTTTCTATATTCAAATTTTTAAAAAGAGATTCATTAAAAATTCTTTGCATTTTGATAATTAATAAAGACATAATTGTCATTTAAGGTTAGAATTTCATTTAATATCTATTTACCATATTCTAAAAATGTAACCAAGAACTAGAAAGTAGGCCTAACAATTTTATTTGGTTCAACCAGTTTTGCTGTGAGTGTGTGCTAGGAATCCATGATCTTTATTTTCAAAACCCTCTCTCCTTAGAGAAAATTTCATTTCAAGGAATTACAACTTTTTTCAGAGAATATTGTACTCTTCATAGCTGAAAGTAAAAGAAAAAAGAAAAAGTTGAAAATAGTAATTTTGCTATAAAATTACACTTTTTTTGAGGAATATTTGCTACTCTAACAAGAAAAGATGGGGAAGATTAGGTAATGAATCAGATTTTCATTTGTATAAGTATAGTCTTTTTTCATAACACACGTTCCTGTTTACAATTTAAATGTACTTTTAGTTGTATGAAAAAATTACTTACTTAAAGTAAAACCGGGCAGTTTTTCTGAGTCTTAAACTGCCCACCACCACTTATGTATATTAGGTATTATCTATATTGACTTTTTGTTTAATCTTTATAGCTTTTATTTATAGACACAAAATTGGTTTCTAGAGATTTTTATGAGTGGAAGAATAAATAATATATCTAAAAAGTTTCATAAGGAAAAATTTTGGATCAATTTTCTTTTTTAAGAGTCAGAGTTTCACTTTCTCACCCAGGCTGGAGTGCAGTAATGCAATCATAACTCAATGCAGCCAAGAACTCCTGGGCTTCAAGCGATCTTTCTGCCTCAGACTCCCAAGTAGCTGGGACTATAGGCATATGCCGCCTTGCCCAGTTTATTTATTTTTTAATTTTTGGTAGAGACAGGGTCTTGCTATGTTGTCCAGGCTAGTCTCAAACTCGTGGCCTTGAGTGATCCTCCTGCCTCAGCCTCCCAAAGTGCTGGAATTATAGGTGTGAGCCACTGTGCCCAACCAGTCAATATTGTTATATCAAGTCTTTATGGCTTTTGTCAATAAGATAACATCTATAAAATTATTAAAGAACCATTATAGTATTAATATAATAGCATTAGAAAATTTAAAGATATTTTGTTCGGGCAGGTAATGCTTGTAATCCCAGCACTTTGGCAGGCGGAGCCAGGAGAATCACTTGAGGCTGAGAGTTCAAGACCAGCCTGAGCAACATAGCCAGATGATGTTTCTACAAAAAAATAGAAAAATTAGCCAGGTGTGGTAGCATGCGCCTGTAATCCCATCTACTTGGGGGCTGATGCAGGAGGATCATGTGAGCCCAGGAGTTTGAGGTTGTGGTGAGCTATGATGATGCCACTGCTCTCTAGTCTAAGCAATAGAGTCAGACCCTATCTCCAAAAAAAAAAAACCCACAAAAAAGAAAATTTAAAGGTATTGTGGTTAGATAAGGTAAAACTAATCTTTTAGAAATAGAACCCATTTTGGTTTTTAAAATAAAGAATTTTCAGCAGTTCCTATAAGAATTTAGAAATAGCCAGCCATATGTTTTGACAACTCTTTTGACAGTTATGTAAAACATCTATCAAGGATAACGAAAGCAAACTATATTGATTAAAAAGTTCAAATATACAAAAACTAGGAGCAAAAGCATTTTTTTTTACAGTTGTAAGTTGCTACAGCTTTTACTGGAGAATGTTAGTCAAAAAAGAAATTAATGGTAAAAATCTAGTATGATTTTGACTTAAATTTTCATTTTTATCAATTTCTTACAATATTACTTTAATAATTTAGAAAGAAGAACCTAATAAATTTTTAAAATAAAAAACAATATTACTCTGGATAGAGATCAAGGCAGAATGTAAAAGACTGTACTACAAACAGGAATTATAAAAGCTAGGTCCGAATTGAGTAACATGTTTTAGTGCAGAAACACCTAGGTAAGTTTAATTAATTTTCTCTTTTTTTAATTAATTTTTTTCTCATTTTTAAATTAATTTTTCTCTTTTTTTTCTCCTGGAAGTATCCTTTTGCATACACACAGATAGTTTGGAGTAAATGACCTGTATTTTGAGCTGTTTATTTTAGGTAATGTTTTTATATTTATATGATGTATGGTTATATGATTAGAAGTGTTTGCCCAAATTTGTAATTTAGTAAATTAACCATTAAAATCAAAGATGCTACCTTTTAGTTCCATGTAGTTTGCTTTTGCTGGCAGAAGGACTCTAACTTTTATTCATATTATTAATCATTGTTTAGAGACATACATCTGAATTTAAGGCATATAGGGCAAAGTGAACAGTAAAAAAAATCCTGATTTCCATAAAATGTAGTATACAAGGTATTTCTAACAGAAATAATTTAACAAGATGTAGTATTTTCATTGGTTTATAGTTTGTGCTATGTGGTAAATTTAATATTTCTTTCTCAACATAATTGTTCCTGTTACATTTTAAAACATTATATTTCTGATTAATTTTATTATTCTGTCACTTTTTTTAGACATTGTTTTTTAGAGCAATATTAGGTTCACAGCAAAAATGAGCAGAAAGTAGAGTTGCCACATATACTCTATCCCTATATATGCATAGCCTCTCTCACTAACAACACCTGGCACCAGAGCAGCATGTTTGTGCAATTGATGAACCTACATTGTCACATTATCATCACCCAAAGTCCATAGTTTAAATTAGGGTTCACTCTTGGTAATGTGCATGCTATGTTGTTATGTCATTATGTATAATGACATATATCCACCATTATAGTATCATAAAGAATACTACTTTTTTTTTTTTTTCCCTGAGATGGGATCTTGCTTTGTTGCCCTGGCTGGAGTGCAGTGGTACATCATAGCTCTCCGTATCCTCAAACTCTAGGGCTGAAATGATCCTCCTGCCTCAGCCTCTCGAGTAGCTGGGACTACAGGTCTGGGCCACCACGCCTGGCTAATTTTTCTATTTTTCTTAGAGACTGGGGTCTCACTCTTGCTCAGGCTGGTCTCAAACTCCTGACCTCAAGCAGTCCTCCCTCTGTGGCCTCCCAAAGTGAGCCACTGTGCCCAGCCTATTACTGTTATTCTTTAACTCTGGGTACCTATTGGTTTTTAAAATTTACTTCAGAAGAATTTATTTAAACTCTTTTGTACTTCAGAGGTGGAGAAAATCTGTTGACATTATTTCCACACGTTTAGAGAGTGAAGTTTGAAGTAGGTTAGAGGTATAAATAGGAACTCTTTAGTAGGAGAGTCATATGGGCAAGATCTTACTGGTTAGGATTCTGTAAACTGTTTCATTATATATAGCACATAAAGATTAGAATTCTTGTGTTTTCTTTATTCCATTTCCTTTTATGTTCATTGTGATGCATCAATTGCAGGTTTTATTTTCCTGTTAGTTGAAATTCTTAGAGTAATGTAAAACAACTTTTTCTTCTCTAAAAGTCCTTTGTTTTGAGGCTATAATTACATTTGATTTCCCTCGATGAGTATTTGGCTATTATTTACTTAGTGGGCTTTAACTCCTTCTCATATACTTTTATGAGTTTTGTCTTTTTTTTTTTATGATTCAGTTTTGAGAACAAATTGTAAAAGTTTTTGAATGCCTCACCATTTAAAAACATGTGGTTTTTTTGGTTTTTTTTTTTTTTTTTTTTGCATTTTGAATAACAGATTTTTTTTTTTTTTAACCCAATAGTTTGCTTGCCTAAACTGGATTTGAAGCAATTTCAACTACTGGAGATCTGCCATTTTACAAAATCACAATCGGAAAGAAACAGGTTTTCAAATAATGGAAGAGTCTAAGACCTCTAAAAGTGGAAATCATGAACCAAAGAAGAATGTTATTTGTGAAGAGAGCAAAGCAGTTAAAGTTATAACTAATCAAACTTTGAAAGCTAGAAATGATAAATGTATAAAAGAAATTGGAAACAGCTCTCCAAATAGGAATAGTAGTAAAAAAAATAAGCAAAATGATAATTGTACAGAAAAAACAGAGATGAAATCATGTAGAGTGAATGCTGTTGATATTCCAGGGCCTAAAGATTTGGGGTTAGTCCTTCAAGATCAAAGTCATTGCAAAGCAAAAAAATTACCTACTTCACCAGTGAAAACTGAAAAGGCATCTATTTCACAGGCAAAATTAGAAAAGATACCCAGTTTACAGGTTAAAGCAGAAAAATGCCCAAAGTCACCTAATTCACAAGTAAAAGCAGAAAAAGCACCCAGTTCTCAGATGAGATCAGAACAGGTGCCCAGGTCACAAGCAGAAGCAGAAAAGGTACCCAGTTTACCATTGAAAGAAAACATGAGACAGACAGAATTACAACAGATTGGAAAAAAAATTCCAAGCTCCTTTGCTTCTGTGGACAAAGTGAATATTCAAGCTGTAGAGGGGAAAAAATCTGCTCTGCAACACTCACCGCAATCGCAGAATCAACAAACATGTACAGATAATACTGGTGATTCCGATGATAGTGCTTCAGGAATTGAAGACATATCAGATGATTTGAGTAAGTACAGATTAGATTATTCCACAAGTCACATTTTTTGGAGGGATTTTCCTGTATTAATGTTCACTAGATGATCTCTGGTTTAACTACTTTAATTACAAAAGGACATTAGTAATGTCGCTCTTAAAGCTACAAAAAAGCCTTTCCGTTTATTATGGTAGGTAAAAAGGCTGTGCAAATGTAAATTTAGTGGCTCCTTTAGTTGGTATATACTCTTTTGAAATGGTCTTTGTAATATTAATATATTGCTCATTCATTCACTGAATATGTTTGTGTTGAATTCTGTTATGCATCAAATGTGTGTTTACAACGGAAAGCCGGAAAAAACACAGTCCTACACCTAGACCTCTAGTCTGGTGGCGGTGATATACATAAGTGATTTTTAGTGCCAAAAACTTAATTCACATTGAGAATTCACATTATTAAATTGTGAGATTTAGACTTTGGGTTGAAAAAAAATGCATGATATGACCATGAGACTCTGAGTATGACTGAGACTCATTATGACTGGAGCAGGGAGTTGAGGGAAAGAGTGGCAAATAATGCAGCTGAAAGGGCACTCCGGCATTGGAGAATCAAGGACCTTGTAAGCCATGATGGAAAGTTTGGACTTTGTCATGAGTATTTTTGAGAAGCCATTGAAGAGTTTGGTTTTTTTTTTTAATTTAAATTGTAATCCCCTAAATGTTCTTCAGGAGAAGAGTTTTAAGTAAGGTAATGCTATCTATGATCAGATTTTTTAAAAATCCTTTTGGCTACAAGGCAGCAAATTCTTTGACAGGAACAAGGGAAACTGATATAACATTGTTATACAGTTTACTGACAACGGTTGTAAAATTCATTTTGTTTTGGGTCCTGATTTTTGTTTTAAGTAATTGTTTAGAAATATTGTCCATATCTTTCAAGTAACTTTAATCTTGATTTTGTCTAAATTAAAGAATTTCCTTTTATAAACTTTTTTCCTGGTGTTTCTGTGGCCTTGATGTAGAAATAAAAAGCAGCCATTTGTGAATCATTTGTCACACTTTGAGAAACAATGGTAAAGAATTCAGAAATAGCTTTTTAGTTATTTTGGTACACAGAGGATGAAATATGGATAGACATGTTAAAAATTTTAATAGAGTTATCTTTATTTTATGTGTATAAGAAAAAAAATCAAGCTCATAATTATATACACATAGAGCTTAGGACAAGGCCAACTTTAAAAAATAAGTCAATTTAGAGATAGTATCAAGTAAATAATAATACTGGTAATGTTTACATATGGCAAAAATTTAAACATGATGACACCTGAATGATCGAAGTTCGGGAAATAGTGGTGCTTAAGATCACTTAATTAAGGATTTCATCACTTGAATTAGTGAAAAACCTGATATAAAGGTTATTTTTAAAAAGACAATAAAATAATCGAGGTGACATTGTAAGATAGTTAAGAGTATGAGCTCTGGAGTGAAATTGCATGGATTTTGAATTCCCATCTTCTCCGATTAATAACTTCGTAATCTTGAATAATCTGTTTGTCCCTTAAAAATGTTTTCTAATTTTTAAAAAAGTGGAGATGCTGCTGCCTGTGTTATGAAGGTTAAGTAAAAAATCCAGTAGGATGTTTCATGTAGTACCTGACACAGTAGGCATGCAATGGCAATGAGTATCATTTATTATTATATTACTCCAATTAAATGCTATTTTGTTACTTGTTAATGTGGAGAACAAGTTGAACTAGTTTAAAGAAGCTACTAGACCAAGTAGAGGTCATTTGGGGAAACTTGGTTTAGCAAATTAATAAGAATGACCTACAGTATAGCAGTCATTTTTCATAAATAAGTACTTCTCATGTTTTAAAGAATTCAATATGTGTGATATTTGCCTTGAATTCATGGTCAGATATAATTGTTAAGCACTTCTTTTTTACCATATGAAAAAATACAAATTAATGATAATTGAATTAATGATTTCTCATTAGATTACCACTTGGTAAAATAAATAGAATGAAATCTTTATATCTAGATCATTATCTATTTGGACTTAAATAGGTATACAGAAATTTGATTAATCTCAGTGTTCTCCATTAGGCCCAAATTTAACTCCTTCACCATTTTTCTTTTTGCCATTTATTCCATTCAATAAGAATCTTTTTTTTTTTTTTTTTAGTGTCTACTATGTGCCAGGTACTGATCTAGTCACTAGGAATATAGCAGTGAATGAAACAAATGACACAACTCTTAAGGAGTTAATGTTCTAGTGAGAGGAAACAGACAACAAACACAATAAATTTAAAAAAATATTTTAAGTTAGATGGTTATAAATCCTTTGAGAAAAATGCAATAGAAAAGGTCATAGGGAATGATGCTAGTTGCTGTTGGTGGTGTTTCAAATTTAAATTGTCATTCAGAAAGTGAAATTAGAGCAAATACTTAAAGGAAAGAAGTGAATGAGCCAGGTGAATATTTGAGGGGAGAGCATTCTTGATCTGGGTTTCTCAAATTTTAATATGTATACTTACCACTTGGGAATCATATTAAAATGCTGATTCCTGAGCCTCATTTCCAGAGATTTTTGATTCAGAAGGCCTAGGGTGGGACCTGAGAAATTGGATTTCTGACAAGTTTCCAAGTCCTGCTGGTCAGGATCCTGCTTTTGGGCAGCATGTCCTAATATCACCCTTTATTGTGTTTTCAACATAGCAGCCAGAATGATCCTATTAAAATGAGTGAGATTATGTTACTCCTAGACAGAATGTTTCAGTGGCTTCCCATACACCAGAGTAAAAGATAGTGTTCTTGCAGTGACTAGTAGAGCCCTACCTGGTCTGTGACACTCCCTTACTTCTCTGCCCTCATTCATTTACTTCTCGCCCTTTCTCTTTCTCTCTGCTCCAGCTGCATGGTTTTCTTGCATTTCCTCAAAGACAAAGGCAGATGTCCATCTCAGGGCCTTTGCATTTACTTTTTCCTCTGCCTAGACTGTTCATCCCCCAATGTCCATAGGGCTACCTCTTTTAACTTCCTTCACCTTCTTTTTTTTTTTTTTTTTTGAGACAGAGTCTCACTGTCTTGCCCAGGCTAGAGTGCCGTGGCGTCATCATAGCTCACAGGAACCTCAAACTCCTGGGCTCAAGCGATCCTCCTGCCTCAGCCTCCCAAGTAGCTGGGACTACAGGCACGCGCCACCATACCTGGCTAATTTTTTTCTATATATTTTTAGCTGTCCAATTAATTTCTTTCTATTTTTGGTAGAGACGGGGTCTCGCTCTTGCTCAGGCTGGTCTCGAACTCCTGAGCTCAAACGATCCGCCTGCCTCGGCCTCCCAGAGTGCTAGGATTACAGGCGTGAGCCACCGCACCCAGCCTATTCAGTGGTTTTTATTATACTGTATTCACAAAGTTGTACAGCTCTCACCATTATCTAATTCCATTTTCATTACTCCCCAGAGAAACTCCATACCCAGTAGCAGTCACTGTTCATTACATTCCCTTCCTACCCATTGGCAATAACTAATCTTTCTGTCTCTATTGATTTGTCCTGTTTTTATATAAATGGAATGATATAACATGTGGCCTATTGTGTCTGGCTTTTTTTGCTTAGCATAATGTTTTCAAAATTCATCCATGTTATAGCATGTATGAATGTACATCATTCTTTTTTATTGCCAAATAGTATTTGATTGTATGGATATACCACATTTTGTTTATCCGTTTGTCAGTTGATAGACATTTGGATTGTTTCCATCTTTTGACTAGCCTTAATAGTGCTGCTATGAGCATTTGTGTAAGTTTTTGTGTGGATGTATGTTTTCCTTTTTCCTGGGTATATATCTAGAAGTGCGATTGCTGTGTCGTATAGTAATTCTGTTTAACTTTTTTATTTTGGTGATAAATATATATAAGGTTTACCATTGTAACCATTTTAAAGTGTACAATTCAGTGGCGTTAAGTATATTTACAATGTCGTACAATCATTACCACTGTCTAATTCCAGAACTTTTTCAGCATCCCAGTAGGAAATCCCATGCTCATTAAGAGTCATTTCCCATTCTCCACTTTCCCCAGCCTCTGGCAACTACTAATATACTTTCTATTTCTATGTATTTGCCTATTTTAGATAATTCATATACATCGAGCTATACAATATGTGGTCTTTTGTATCTGGCTTTCATTTAGCGTCATGTTTTCCAGGTTTATTCATGTAGTAGCATGTATCACTGCTTTATTCCTTTTTAAGGCTGAGGCTATGGACTGAATTGTATCACCTCCCAATTCATATGCTGAATTCCTGACTTCCAATGTGATTGTACTTGGACATAGGGCTTTTAGGAGGTAATTAAGGTTAAATGAGGTCATAAGTGTGGGGTCCTAATGTGATAGGATTGGTGGCCTTATAAGAAGGAGAAAAGAGAGAGAGAACTAGAGAAAGAGAGAGAGGTCTCCATAAGGAAAACCACATCAAGAAGGTGGCTGTCTGCAATCTAAGGAGAAAGCATTCACTAGACACTGACCCTACTGGCACCTTGATCTTGGACTTTCCAGGCTCCAGAACTGTGAGAAAATTAATTTCTGTTGTTTAAGCCACTCAGTCTATGGTATTTGTTAAGGCAGCCTGAGCTGACTATGACAGCTGAATAATATTCCCTTGTAGATATGCCATATTTTATTTATCCACTCATCAGTGATGGACATTTGGGTTATTTCTACTTTGGCTATTATGAATAGTGCTTCTGTGAACATTCATATACAAGATTTTATGTGGACACAGGTTTTCAATTCTTGTTTCATGTAACATCTTGCGGAACTGGTGTTCTGTGGAACACAGTTTGGGACATTCTGCCTGGTATTATTTTATTTTGTATGTTGATTCCAGAAAATAAAACAATTTCATTTATTTCTGACTTTTTTTTTTTTTTTTTAAGAGATAGGGACTCACTCTGTTGCCCAGGCTGGAGTGTGGTGGCTCAATTATTGCTCACAATAACCTCTACCTCCTGGGCTCAAGTGATCCTCCCACCTCAGCCTCCAAAGTAGCTGGGACTACAGGTGTGTGTCACCATGCCTGGCTAAATTTTTTCTATATTTTATAGAGATGGGGTCTTGTTATGTTGTCCAGGCTGGTCTTGAACTCCTAGCCTCAAGCAATCCTCCCACCTCGGCTTCCCAAAATGCTGGAATTACAGGCATGAGCCACTGTGTCTGGCCTATTTTTGACTTTTCTATGTTTTTTTGGAGACCGAGTCTTGCTCTGTCACCCTGGGTAGAATACAGTGGTATCATCATAGCTCATTGCAACCTAAAACTCATGGATTCAAGCGATCCTCCTGCCTCAGCCTCCCAGGTAGCTGGGCCACCATGCCTGGCTGATTTTTTCTGTTTTTAGTAGAGACAAGGTCTTGCTCTTGCTCAGGCTGGTCTCCAACTCCTGACCTCAAGTGATCCTCCTGCCTCAGCCTTCCAGAGTGCTAGGATTACAGATGTGAGCCACCGTGCCTGGCCATCATTTCTTCTTTATTTAGAAAATTAGTCCTATCAAAAGGTAGAATTGACTTTTCAGACTTCCTCTAGATGGCATATTATTGGCTTTTGAGGGCAGAGTGGAGAGATTTATTTATTATCTGTGAGAATTTTTTTTGGAACTGCTTTTAGATACATCCAGATTCATTCATTCAACAGCATCAGCTCTGGTATAGGAATTGTATTAAAATCTGAAGGTACATAGTTAAATAATACCTGATTATTAGCATCAAAGAATCCATCATCTAATGTAGGAAATAGATAAATAAATCCAAATTCCATTACTCTGTAAATATGAGATAATAGAGGTGATAGGAGAATACAGAAGATACCAGACCGGCTTCTGAAACAGGTAGTGCTTAAGCTGAATTTTGAAGGACAGGTAAATATTACTAGTTGAATTGAGAAGGCATTGATGGAGAAGGAAATAGCATATGTAAAGACACTGAAGCAGCAGTGATTTATTCTAGCACTTTTAGTATGAATGAAATGAGAATTGTTAGGGCAGGTTCTGAGGTTAGAGATATAGGCAAATTAGCTCTCTTTCTTTAGCTTTTAGATTAAATGAAATCCCCTCAGAGAAGCCTTCTCTGACTTCCATATCTAAAGTTGGTCTTCCTGTCAGTTCCTTGCTTTTTTCCTTTATAGCATTTATTACAACTTGGAATTATTATATTTGTTTACTACCTCCATGAAGGCAAAGGACTGTGTGTAATATTCTAGGGAGTTTAAACTTTATCTTGAACTCTTTAAAAGCCTTTTAAGTATTTTAGGCAAGAGAATAACATGATTCCGTTTGTATTTAAAAAATCACACCGGTGGTAGACCCTCTTGTCAGCCAGGTACATATTGCCAAATGCTGGAAATGCGAAGATGAAAACATATATTCTATGCCTTAAAGAGATTACAATCTAGTTAGGGGGCACAGAAGCAAAGGAAAAATGTTGATCTGGTGGAGAACTTCCATGAATTCAGTGGAAGCAAAGAAGGAGCCTTGTGCCTGGAGTGTATATGTTCTTTTAACTGCTAATAACTAGTTCAGTAACTAATCTTCTTTGGGACTCAAAATAGCTTTTTATCAAATTCACTTCAGATATTCTATAAGGTGATTATCTTATGTTAGCTTTGTATAGTGTAGTCTTAGTTATATATGTCTCTTAATAGTTAAGCTGGAAGAACGAGGGAGGCATTTGACCCATGAAGTAGGTTTTTCTTTGTGAATTTTGATACCATGTATTTATCTCAGTTTTATTTTATATATATGTACCAACTTATGCAACAAAGGAAAATATAAAGAAAGAATTTTTTTCTTCTATATGTATAAATTTAATGTCTGTCTTTTTATTAAAAATTTAAAAAATTTACCAGTTCTGGGGATAATAACTGATTACTTTTTTTCTAGGTAAAATGAAGAATGATGACTCTAATAAAGAAAATTCTTCAGAGATGGACTATTTAGAAAATGCCACTGTAATAGATGAATCTACCTTGACACCTGAGCAGAGGCTGGGCTTGAAACAAGCAGAAGAACGCTTAGAAAGAGATCACATCTTTCGACTTGAAAAAGTATACTATGTTGTTTTAGTTATTTGGAGGGAAATATGTGTTTCATAACTTTTTCCCCAAGGACAGCTCTTCTTTATTTTTCTTTTATTCGTAAGACAAAGGTAGCATTCATCTTTCCTTTTTCCCTCTTTCCTTCCTCTCATTTTCTTTCCCTCTTTTTCTTCCTTCCCTCTCTTTGTTTAGCAAATACTTAAGGTCTGTGAGTCTGACTTCATTCATTCATCCCAGGGATAGGCAAACTATGGCCTACTCCCTTGTTTTTGTTTTTGGATATATTAAAATACACCTAGCCCCTTTTTTTGGTAAACAGTTTTGTTGGACTATAGCCATGTGCATTTGTTTACATATTGCCTATGGCTGCTTTCATGCTACCATAGCAAAGTTGAGTAGGGTAGCTGCCAAAGAGGCTATGTGGCTTGCAGAACTATAAAATATTTACTATTTATCAAAGCGTATGATATTTATCAAAATATTACTTTGGCTCTTTACTGTCTTCTGATTTATTCACTCATCAAATAGATACTGAGTGCTTGTTATGTGCAAGGTACTGTGCGAGGCACTGGGGCTATATTGGTGAAAATGGCATAGTTTCTCCTCATTTAGAAGTTAAAAGTCCATTCAGATTGATGGAAATAAATTAGCAAATACCATATAATGTACTCGAGTTCCTCCTTTTTCTCTTGCTTTTCTTCTCTATTTTTTTCTCCCATATTTACTGAGTACTCTGTATTAGCAACTATTCTAGTCACTGGTATCTTATTCCTGAATACTAATTAATTTCTTAACCTAGAAGTACACATTCCTAGCCTCAACTATAAAAACACTGCCAAATATTGAAGGAAAGAATCACAAATCAAACTTCTGAAAAATAGATACTTGGGATATTTGTGAATATGTATATAAGGAAATAAGTCATCATTCATGAAAGAAAGAAAGAAATGGTATGATTCTGTATAGTTTAGAAAAATGAGATCATATCTAGATTGGAGAAGACAATTCTGGGTTGTTAATAGGACAGAGTAGTCACCATATGAAAAGAGAAAGGAATATCAAGGAGTAGAGGACCATAATATAGGAGAGAGTTTGGGTTGTATAGCAAGTCTCACAAGATCCTAGTTAGAAGGAAGTCTTTTTTACAATTTTCTATTTTACTTAATTCTGTCTTTACTTAGTCCTCTTACTTATCCTCTCCTAAGCCTGGAATTAGTAGTTATTTCTGGATCTGTCCATTGTCAAGATAAATATTGATTGCCTTTTATGTACTGTGGCCTGGTGGGTGATAAAAGGTTAAATTCCGGCGTGCCTGAAATTTTTAAAAACACCACTTTTTTAGGAGTTTACTAATGAGAGAAAACATGTAAGCAAGTAATAATAATAATAACAATATTGTTTGAAAATGGAATCATAGACAAAAAAGAGTTTCCAGCTTGAGTTGGGGGTATAGAGGCATCAATTCGGGGAATGCTTCTTAAGGAGCGGACATTGGAGTTGATTCTCAAAAATTGGCTAGAAATTGATTAGGTGAATAGGGGAAGGGTGGTTAGGTAAATTATATACCGTGTATAAAGGAAGTGTGAAAATTTCTTTTCAGGAAAAATAAGCAGGGAACTGGATGGGAAGATACATAGGAATGAGCAGGAAAGGTCAGTTTGTGGGAAAAGGAAGAAGTTGGGGTGGAATGGGTATTTGATGGTAGGAGGAAAGAATGGCCTGGGGTGAAAGGAAATCTTGGAAGCATTGGAAAGCATTTTATTTGTTGTTGAGTTTAGACAGTCACCAGTGATTTAAAATCACTGTGCCAGTACCAGCATAGATGTCTAATCCCTTTTCTTTCTGACACCTGTTTATTTCTTACGTCCTCCAAACCTCTTATTTTCAATTCATTATACTCTTAATTAACATTTTTCTTTACAAGCTTTAGACACTCATTAAGAATATTCTTCCTAAGTTTTTTTGATTTCATCAGGGTCCTTTGGTTCACAGTGTACCCATAGATTATCTAATTGAGGAATAAAGATATAGATTTTTTGCTATATACCAAAGAAGACATAAATCCAAACCATCAGATTTGGGTAAATTTCCATATGGTGAGTGTTAAATAATGACTTGGAAATACTTAGAATCTTCGTGCCCAGAAATCTTTCTTCTAGCTTGTCTGCAGAAAGTTTAAAGAAGGGTCATTAGTCTGTTTGTTTAATGGTAAAATAAAATATAACTGTAATAAAAGAAATATTTAAACATTTTTCATATGTTTTTTCTGTAAAACTAGAAACTTCATGATGGTGAGAGCATTTTTGTCTTCTTTGATATCATGCGTAATGCATTTCTTGCTCAAAGCATTTGGTTGCTCATTAGAGGTAGTGTGCATAGTGGTCAAGTGCGTGGATTTTGGAGTCACTGGGTCTAGCTCTGCCACTTTTACTGGTTGGATAATATCAAATAAATTCCTTAACCTCTTTAAACCTTGGTTTCTTCACCAGTAAAATGGGATTAACAAAAATAACAACACCTAGCTCATGGGGCTGTTATGAAGATTAAATGAGAGAATACAAATAAATTTCTTGGCACAAGACCTGGTATGTAGTAAGTACTAAATAAAGATTAGCTACTTGTAGAATTGAATTATTTTACCAGGTAGGGCAGTTTTTATTATTTTATGAATAAGGAGATAGACTCAGGCTCCAATGTTAGAGATTTACTCAAGGTCAGTCATCCCATTCAGCGCAGTACCACAATTCTCTTACTAAAAGAATCTAGACATGCCCTTATCTTCTAATGTTTTGTAATTGAAAAATTCATGTGATTGATTTCATGACTCCCTTAGTGACCTCATCAGTACTCATGGCTTTAGGTGTTCTGTGTATATTCTTTCAACTCCTGAATCCAACTCGTTTTACACCTCCACTGGTCTCATCTTGAACCAAGCCAACATCATCTTTTTTCTGGATTATTGCAATGTTGATAACTGCAATAAGCTTTTTTTGCTTCTGTTCTTAACATAGAAGGCAAATGATATTTTTATAATATTGATTAGATCTTATAATTCTCTGCTCAGAAACTCAAATGGCCTTCCATCACACTTAGAATAAAAGCCAGAGTCTTCACAGGGGACCTTGTCATCTGGCCCCTATTACTTCTCTGTTTCAGTCATACTAGCTTTTTTGCAATGCGTCAAACATTTTAGGCACATTTCTGCCACAAGGCATTAGCATTCACTTTTTCCTCTGTTTGGAATGTTTCTTTCCAGATATCCACACAGCTCAATCCTTTAATTTCTTTAAGTCGCTTTATCAATAAGATCTTAAGTGATGACTCTATTTAAAAAAAAACAGGCCGGGCGCGGTGGCTCTCGCCTGTAATCCTAGCACTCTGGGAGGCCGAGGTGGGCGGATTGTTTGAGCTCAGGAGTTCGAGACCAGCCTGAGCAAGAGTGAGACCTCTTCTCTACTAAAAATAGAAAGAAATTAATCAGACAACTAAAAATATATAGAAAAAATTAGCCGGGCATGGTGGCGCATGCCTGTAGTCCCAGCTACACGGGAGGCTGAGGCAGGAGGATCGCTTGAGCCCAGGAGTTTGAGGTTGCTGTGAGCTAGGCTGACGCCACGGCACTCTACCCAGGGCAACCCAGGGAAATTCTGCCCCAAAAAAAAAAAAAAACAGTAACTATCCCCACCCATATTCCTATTTATTTGTTTGTATGTTTGTTTATTACCCATCTCCCTACATTAGAATGTAAATTCATACAGACAGGAATTTCCATCTGTTTTGTTTATTGCTATTATCCCCTGCTCCTAGAAAAATGTTTTACATATAATATGAGCTTAGAAAATCTTTGGTAAATAAAGAAATAGTTGTGGTTGGAAACTAAGAGGAAGAGTTTTCTGTGAAATCTTAATTGATTCTCCAATAGGAATTGATTTGAAAAAAATTTTATTCGAAAGAACTGAAATAACTAGATTCAGCTGAATTTTCTTATTTGCTTGTTGCCCTGGGCAAATTATTTAATCCTTGAGATTTAGTTCCTTTGCCAGTAAAATGGGGAATCCTGATAGGGTTTTTCTAAGGTTAATAAATACTCTATAAACAGTGGCTATATTTATTTTTATTTTGTGGCAAGACTTGCTAAATTTGGGGCAGGTCTCATTTAAAGGAAATCATATATAATATTCTGAGGTGAGAGTCTTTTTTTGTCAGAAGCTACAGTCTATTCAATATCAATCTGAAATAAAAACTAAGTATTGCTGAAGTTTCAAGGTAAGGCATTAGAAATAGCGTTTTAAAATCCAGTATGTATTTAATGTGTTTTTGTAACTTTTTATTGTGCAATCTTTTGGGTAGAGTGTTGGCTTCAGACTCAGACATACATGAATTTAAATTCAGCATCTCCCACTTAATCTGTCCTTGTGAAAGTTGCAAGCTCTATGAGCTTTTGTTTTCACATCTATAAAATGAAAATAATACCAATCTAATTGAATGATTAGGGGATATAAAATGAGAAATTGTATGTGAAACACCTAACATAACGTAGTGCCTGGTGCCTAACAGGCACTCAGTAATTATTAAGTTTTATTGTTAATCCGAGAATACATATACAAAGTGTGAATAAAATATTGTGATTGATCGTTACCATGTCAGAATTGTTATTCCTTTCAGAGTAGTGACCTCAAGAGGTTATCTATTTAATCCCATGATTCTGTGATTGATTGGAGTGTTTTTGGAACTCAGCTTTTGAAATTGTTTTCATATTTGTGATCCATTCTATTGAAATGCCCTATTTTGAGGGTGGATTTTACTTTTTATAGTAATCAAAAAGACTGAAAATTAAGTTTGAAACCAATTTTTGGGAAAGCATTGGAATAAGACTAAGTAGCAGGACTGCCTTTCTTATTTTACATTGTGTTCTAAAGATGATATTAGGTGAGTATTAAACATATTTAACATTGTAATGATATTGTTTGAAGTTAGTATATAATCTCCTATGATGACTATTTAGACAAGGGCAATTACCTCCTGGGTATATAAGTACTGATTTGTTTATTAAAAACTTATTCCCTCAGTGCTTATTTCTGTCTGTTATATTACATAATTGTATTGTTCACTTATGTAGTCAATAATTTACTGCTTTTCCTGTAAAAATGCATTTTTTAACTTGTCTCTTTAGCGATCACCAGAATATACTAATTGCCGGTATCTATGCAAACTGTGCTTAATTCACATTGAAAACATCCAAGGAGCTCACAAACATATCAAGGAGAAAAGACATAAGAAAAATATTTTGGTAAGTTCTTTTAAACAATTTATTTCTCAAATGGTAAAACTATATCAAATATTTTTTATCTTTGAAGCTAAAAATGAGGTATTTGTCCAGTCTGATATGATTAATAGCTGAAGTGATAGCCCTAGAAGCTGTGATTGCTTCCCTTATCTCAGGTGGTCAGAAGGGTAACTTTCTCAAGACCAGTTTGCTCATTCTGAAGAATGTTGTTTCCTAAGTTTAAAGCAGTCAGGTATAATCAGTCCATCTAACTGATATTTACTGAGTTCTTCTAGGCAGTGTTGAATAAGATAGTCATGGTTTCTGCTATCAGAGTTTCTAAGAATTGGTGAGGGCATACATTGAATAAGGTTTTTAAGTATAATGAACCTTATTAAAGGGGGGACCATGGTGCTAAGGAAGTGTACAAGGATATTTTACTTGGTCTGCAACAGGGAGAAAGTGACATTGAGTTGAACCTTGAAGTAGTAGTTTAAATGACAAAGAGATGAGTGGCCTAGAGAGGTAAGTGGAGAGCATTTTACACAAAAAAAGCATGAATAAAAGTCTTTAGGTAGGACAAGTCATGGCATATGAGGAACTGAAAGTCCAGTATGACTAGAGCAGAGAGACGTAGGGGGAAAATCGTATGACATGATGCTAGAGAAGTACAGATCATGCAGGGTCTTAAAAAGCTTTAGACTTTGGGAGTTTGTAATTTTTCAGGTATTTCTATTAAAATATTTCATAGACATAGATATGAATAGAGTACTTTTTTTTTAAAGTGTATTAGTATATTAACTATTTAATTTTTTCCGTTTAAAGTTACAATGATAATACTGTGTAAACTCTTAATTATCTCTAAGTCTCAGTTCATATATCTTCTCTGAGAAGTAGTCTCTTATCTGAGCCTTTCAGCAGTTCTGGGTAAGGTACTCCTTTGTGCTCCCAAAGCAGCTTTTGCATACCTTGATCCGAAAACCTAATGCACTGTATTTTGGTTGTCTGCCTTCTCTCCCCTTCTAGACTTCATTATTCAATATTCTAGAGGGCAGGTTTAGTTTCTTAATTAATTTCATTTCTGAATTGCTAAGGACAATGTCTGACACATAGGAGGTACTCAGTATATTTTTCTTGAAAAAATAAATGCACAGAAGCAAATCAAAAACTTTGAAGGAAAGAAATCATTCACATTTTATCAGCCTCTTATTTTGATTTAATTAGAGCTTGAGAAGATTTAATAGGACAGAGACAAGGGTGGTAGTTTAGGAGATAATAATTGGGAATTTTCCATTAATGTTGAAAGATGCCAATCATTAGTTCCAGGAGGTTCAGGGTATTCTAAGAAAGATACTTAAAAAAAAAACCATACTGTACACATTACAGGTCAAGTATCCCTTATCCTAAATGCTTAGGACCAGAAGTGTTTTGGATTTTTTCAGAATTTACAATATGTGCATTATATTCCAATGAGCATTTTCTTTGAGCATCATGGCAGTGCTCATAAAGTGTCAGATTTTGCTGGGTGCAGTGGCTTGCACCGTAATCCCAGCTACTGAGGAGCCTGAGGCAGGAGGATCGCTTGAGCCCAGGAGTTCGAGACCAGCCTGGGCAAAATGGCAAGACCCCATCTCAAAAAAGTCATCTATGAAACACAGTTAATATCATACTTAATGGTGAAGACTGAATGCTGTCCCCTCAAGATTGGGGAAAAAAAAAAGACAGGTATGAATATGCTACTGTGGAAAAGGGTATGGTGGTTCCTCAAAAAATTAAAAATAGAACTGCTGTATGATCCAGCGACTTCACTTCTGGGTATAAACTTAAAAGAATCAAAAGTAGTGTCTCCAAGAGATATTTGTACACCCATATTCTTAGCAACATTATTCACAGTAGCTAAAACATGGAAGCAATCCCAGTGTCTATTGATGAATGGATAAGCAAAATGTGGTATATTCATACAATGAAATATTACTCAGTCTTAAGGATGGAAATTCTGTAATATGCTACAAAATGGATGAACCTTTAGAAATTATGCTAAGTGAAATATGTCAGTCACAAAAAGAAAAATAGCATATGATTCCACTTATATGAGGTTTTTAGAGTAGTCATAAAGAAACAAAGTGGTGATTTCCAGGCGTTGGGAGAAGGGGGCAATGGGAAGTTATTGTTTGATGGACGTAGAGTGTCAGTTTTGCATATGTATACTATGTTAGAGTGTTTGGATTTTATTTTCAGCATTATGGAGCTTAATGACATGTATTTTTGCAAGGTCACTGGCATCAATGTGAAAGAAGCCTGAGAAGGGTCTATTTGGGGAGACCAGTGAGTCCTTCGTGATTATCTACTTAAGCAACGATGAACATTTGATCTGAAGTAGTAGTGAGAATGGAATAGGATGTAGAATTGTGGAGGTGGAGGCCTAGGATGTCTAGAATGATCATAAGGTATCTAATTTAAGATGTTATTATAGGTTATGGTGCCATTTACTTAGAGGAAATAAAAAAGTGTTTCAGAACATACTGACTTTTAGACACTTATGGGACATTTCAAGTAGAGATTTCCCACAATCATTTGCATATAAGGATCTGAAACTTATATTAGGAGCTGGAGATTCAAATTTGGTAATCTTCAGTATATTGAAGTCATGGATGTGGGTGAGAACACCAGAGGAGTGAAAAAGGGAGAAGATCAAGTAACACAAACATTTGAGGGACTGGTAGAGGAAGAGCAGCCAATATACTGGTGAATGAGTAGGTAGTCCAAAGTGTGATAATACAGGTAAAAATAATCTAAAAACTTGAAAATGTCTGATTTGGCAACTAAGGGGGTTTTCATAATCCTGGTGAGAGCAGTTTTTCTCGTTTAGAGCTAAAAAATACATAGTTTTGAGTGAGCTAGGGGTAAGGAAATAAAAGAAAAGGAGGGGTAGACTCAACTTTCAGGAAAATTCATAGTGAAGGAAAGAAAGGAAGATTGGTAATAGCAAGCACGGCACACAGGCTCTTTTTTTTTTTTTTTGCCTTTTAATATGGCAGAGTAAAACTCTTATCACAGTTTTAATTTTTTATTAATTTGAATAATGGTTTGATTAATCTTTATATCTTTCTCAACTGTGAATTCCATGAGGGCAGGGATTATATGCATGCTTTTTTTCCCATCGTAACTCCATTGCCTAGCACAGTGCCTGGCATATAGTTGCTTTTTTGTGCTTGTGGCCATTTGTATTAATATATCTTCTTTGGAGAAATTTTTATTCAAGTCCTTTGCTCGGTTTTGAATTAGGTCTTTTTTTGTTGTCCAGGCAAAATAGCAAGACCCCATCTCTGTTGCATATTTTGATATTAATCCCGTATTAGATATATGATTTACAAATATTTTCTCCCATTTTGTGGGTTGCCTCTATACTGTGTTGATAGTGTCTTTTGATGAACAAAAATTTTAAATTTTTATGCAGTCCGATTTATTTTTTCTTTTGTTGCTTGTGTTTTTGGTGTCATATCCAAGAAATCTTTGCCAAATCCAATGTCTTGAAGCTTTCCTCTTCTGTTTTCTCCTCAGAGCTTTATAGTTTTAGGTTCTTAGTTATGGTTTTATGATTTGAGGTTTAGGTTTTAGTTTCTTACATTTAGGTCTTTAATCCATTTTGAGTTAATTTTTGTGAAGGTCACATCCAACTTCATTCTTTTGCTTGTGGATATTTTCCCAGCATCATTTGTCGAAAAGACTATCCTTTCCCCATTGAATGGCCATGGCACACTTGTCAAAAATCATTTGACCATACATGTGAGGGTTTGTTTCTGGACTGTCTATTCTATTCCATTGGCCTATATGTCTGTCTTTATACTTAGTACCATACTATTTTGATCACTATAGCCTTGTTGTAAGGTCTTGAAACTAGAAAGAGTGAGTCCTCTAGCTTTGTTCTTCTTTGTAAAGATTGTTTTGGCTATTTGGGGTCCCTTGAGATTCCATATGAATTTTAGGGTTGATTTTTGTATTTCTGCAAAAATGTAATTGGGATTTTGATAGGAATTACATTGAATCTTTAGATTGCTTTGGGTAGTATCGACATCTTAACAATTTTAAGTCTTCCAATTTATGAACAGTTTTTCTGTTTATGTTTTCCTTAATTTAGTTCAATAATCTTTTATAGGGTGTTTTTTCCATAAGAGGTAGGGTCTCACTTTGTCTGACAGGCTGACAGGCAAGTGGCCGGATAGTAGCTCACTGCAACTCTGAACTCCTGGGCTCAAGTGATCCTCCTGCCTAAGCCTCCCAAGTAGCTGGGCATACACCACAATGCCTGGCTAATTTTTAACTTTTTTTATTTGTAGAGATGGGGTCTCACTATGTTGCCCAGGCTTGTCTTGAACTCCTGGCCTCAAGTGATCCTCCCACCTAGGGTCTGCCAAAGTGCTGGGATTATAGGTGTGAGCCACTATACCAGGCCTGTTTTATAGTTTTCACTGTACAAATCTTTCACTTTGGTTATGTAGTTCCTTAGTATTTTATTATTTTTCATGCTGTTATGAATGGGATTGTTTTTTGGTTTCCTTTTCAGATTGTTAATTGTTTGTGTATAGAAATGCAGCTGTTTTTTGTGTTGACTTTGTATCCCTGCTGCTTTGCTGAATTCATTTATTAGTTCTAAACAGTTTGTGTGTATGGAATCTCTGGGGTGGGTTTTCTACACGTAAAATAATATTATCTGCAAACAGAGCTAATTTTATTTCTTTCTTTCTAATTTTGCTGCCTTTTGTTTCTTTTTCTTGCCTAATTGCTCTGGCCATAACTTCCAGTACTTTGTTGAATAGAAGTAGCAAAAGAGACATCCTCTATCCTGATCTTAAAGGAAAAGCTTTCAGTCTTTGACCACTAAGTATGATGTTAGCTATGGGTTTTTCATATATTGCCTTTATTATGTTGAGGTAGTTTCCTTTTACTCCTAGTTTGTTGAGTGTTTTTTTACTACAGAAGAGTTTTGAATTTTGTCAGATGCTTTTTCTGTGTCAACTGAGATTATCTTTTTTTTTTATTTTGGTAAGGTGGTATATTACATTGATTGTTCATTGTATGTTGACCCATCCTGGCATTCCAGGAATAAATCCCACTTGGTCATGGTATATTATCCTTTGACTGCGCTGCTGAATTTGGTTTGCTGGTATTTTGTTGAGGATTTATTGAAGGTTTTTAAGTAGGAGGATTACTGGTAGCAATATATGGAGAATGGGATGAAGGGACAAAGATTGGAAATGGTGATTTATTAGGAGGCTCGTGCCTCTTGGGCTAGTTTTCTTAGCCTAAACTAATTCTGGAATTTACTTCATCTCCGCAAAACATACCACCATTCACTCATTTATTTAGGACAAACACCTTTAAGTCATCCTTGATACAATCTCTTTCTCTTACACCATACATTCAAACCATCGGCACATTCTACAGACTTTACTTTCAAAATACTGTGTTTCTAAACTCAGGCATTCATTGCACACCTCTGCTTCCTGCTTTAGTCTAAGCCACCATCATCTCTCACCTGGACTATTTCTAACTCACTACATCTGCTGCCTACAATTTGTTCTCCATTTAGCAACCAGGATTGCTCTTTTAAAATGTCATATCATGTTACTTCGTCCTCTTAGCCCCTCAGTGGCTTTTCAACTTAGAATAAAATTCTAAGCCCTAGGCCGGGTGTGGTGGCTCATGCCTGTAATCCTAGCACTCTGGGAGGCCGAGGTGGGTGGATTGTTTGAGCTCAGGAGTTTGAGACCAGCCTGAGCAAGAATAAAATGTAAAGAATAATAATTAATAATAGGTCTAGGCCGGGTGTGGTGGCTCACGCCTGTAATCCTAGCTCTCTGGGAGGCCAAGGCAGGCGGATTGTCTGAGCTCAGGAGTTCGAAACCAGCCTGAGCAAGAGCGAGACCCCGTCTCTACTAAAAATAGAAAGAAATTAGCTGGACAACTAAAAATATGTAGAAAAAATGAGCCGGGCATGGTGGTGCATGCCTATAGTCCCAGCTGCTCGGGAGGCTGAGGCAGTAGGATCGCTTGAGCCCAGGAGTGTGAGGTTGCTGTGAGATAGGCTGACGCCACGGCACTCTAGCACGGGCAACAGTGAGACTCTGTCTCAAAAAAAAAAAAAAAAAATTCTAAGCCCTTACCAAGTCCCGTAAGGTCATAGAATATTTGATTTCTTATTAACTCTTCAACCTCATCATCATCCACAGTCTCCCCTTTGTTAGTCTACTACAGCCACCTTGGTCTCTTCAAATAACATGAGGGACTTTCTTGCTTCAGAGTCTTTGCATTTGCTATTCTCTCTGTCTGGAATGCTCTTAACTTACATGTATCTCTCCTTCACTTCATTCATATCTCCAATTAAATGTTACCTGTTCAGAGTGGACTTTTTTCTCTACTTTATTCTAAATAACACACTTTGGGAAGCTGAGGTGGGGGGATCACTTGAGGCCAGGAGTTTGAGACCAGCCTGGTCAATATAGCGAGACCTCATCTCTACAAAAAATAATAATAAAAATTAGCCGGGTGTGGTGGTGCACTCCTGGAATTCCAGCTACTCAGGAGAGGTGAGAGAGAGGATCGCTTGATCCCAGGGGTTTGAGGTTACAGTGAACTGTGATCATCCTACTGTATTCCAGCCTGGGTGACAGAGCAGACTGTCTCAAAAAAAAAAAAAAAGTCCATGCAAAGCTGGAAGAAAGAAATTAAAAACAAAACAAAACAACAGCAACAAAAATAATGCTCCCTTCCCATCATTCTTTAGCTTTTTCCCCAATTTTGTTACTCTTCATAGCACTCACATGACATGATATATTTATCGTCTGTTTCCTCTAACTAGAATTTAAGTTATATGAAGGCAAGGACTCAATTGGTAATATATGTGACAGACAATATATGAGGATATCAGGAGGATATGAGGATGGTCAATGATAGTATATCAGTGAGATGTTTGATGGAACAATAATCCTAAAGGAAGTAGGATAGGCTTATTAATAGCTTAGGTGGAGGAGTTCGTTCCTTAATTATCTTTTATGTTCTTATTTCCATGGAAGTCTTAGCAATATAGTTCAGAGCGTTTTGTGGTACTTCCATGTATATAAAGATAATTTTGTAGCATGTTGATCTCTTACTATTTTTTCATTGTCTGTTGCTATTAATCTGTTGGATGAATCCTAAAAAAGTAATCCTGAAAACTTAGATGCTCATCCAAGATTTAGATTATAATTAAGAATCCCAGAATGGTCACAGAAATTTATAGAAATGAGGTTGACTTATCCCCCCCATGTTTGATAACTCTGTACCTGAAGTAAGCTTTGCTTACATTAAGACTGAATATGGTAACACTTAGTGAAAATAGGTATGGACCAAAGTCTTTGTTTAACTATATTTGGGTGAGTGTGTGGGGAAACCAGCTAGTTTTAGCTATTATATCTGATAGGAGTGTCATATCTCAAAAGATGAGAGAGTATTTCTTTTTTCCTTTTTTTAAGAGACAAGATCTCTCTCTATTGCCCAGGCTGGAGTGCAGTGGAGTAATCACAGCTCACTGCAGCCTCAAACTCCTGGTTTCAAGTGATCCTCCTGCCTCCACCGAGTTGAATAGTTAGGACTACAGGCGTGTGTCATCACTCCTGGCTAAGTTTTAAAAATTTTTTGTAGAGACAGGAGTCTCATTATCTTGCCCAGGCTGGTCTTTTTTTTTTTTTTTTGAGACAGAGTCTGGCTCTGTTGCCCTGGCTAGAGTGCCGTGGCATCAGCCTAGCTCACAATAACCTCAAACTCCTGGGCTCATGCCATCCTCCTGCCTCAGCCTCCCGAGTAGCTGGGACTACAGGCATGCGCCACCATGCCCGGCTAATCTTTTCTATATATATATTTTTTAGTTGTCCAGATAATTTCTTTCTATTTTTAGTAGAGACGGGGTCTCACTCTTGCTCAGGCTGGTCTCGAACTCCTGAGCTCAAACAATCCGCCCGCCTCGGCCTCCCAGAGAGCTAGGATTACAGGCGTGAGCCACCGCGCCCGGCCCAGGCTGGTCTTGATCTCCTGGGCTGAAGGGATTCCTCCTGCCTTGGTCTCCCAAAGTGTTGGGATTACAGGCGTGAGCCACTATGCTCGGCCAGAGATTGTTTCTTGACTGAAAAGCATTATCAGAAAATGCTTATGTTATAATACTAATGAAAGAAACAGTATGGTCTCAGATATGTTAAAAAGTGAAGGAGATAGTAGGATTTGAGATTGTGGGTGATTTTCTCCTTTGTATTTTATATTTTGTAAATAGCATATTTTTTTATATTCAGAAAAATAATTTATAAAAGTCATTGTGCATATATATAACATAGTCCCTTTTTAGCTCCTTGGTTTAAATTGATTTTCAGTCTTTTAGTAGAATGGAGATTTCTTAAATATTTTGCCTGACTCCTGTTGGCTAAAATAACGAGAAATCAATTGTAAATACTAGGCAATGTGATTGATAGAGTCCAGGAAGTTTTCCTGTGACCATTTAATCTGATACTGTATATGCTGATTAGATATGATTCAAGACTTTTTGCTACATCTAAGACAATCTGCCTTGGTAAACAAAATTATCAGCTAAGTGTTGTATTTATGGTATCTTGGCTTTGGTATAGCATTTCAGAATTCATGTAGACAATACAGTAAAACAAATTTTTAAAAGTTAATAGCAGCCACCCCTGCCCCCCAAGTTTCTCTCATTCTTGAAGACCTTCTTCACAAAGGCAGGTCTCAGTCTCTTTTGTTCACTTCCATATCATAAATGGCTTCTATATGGTGCATAGAAGGTGAATATTTGTTGAGTTAATTTGTTTCTGTCCTTCCCTGCTAAATGTAAGGATATTAAAACAGAATTTTTTTGTTGTTGTTATTGTGAAACGTTAAAACTAATAGGAAAAACAGGAAGAAAGTGAGCTTCGTTCTTTGCCACCTCCTTCCCCTGCCCACTTGGCTGCTTTAAGTGTTGCAGTTATTGAATTAGCAAAAGAGCAAGGAATAACAGATGATGACTTCAGAGTTCGCCAGGAAATTGTGGAGGAAATGTCAAAGGTTATAACGACATTTTTACCAGGTACAAATACAGTTCATGTTTGATTTTTAAAATTGCAAAACTCTTTGCCTTGTTTCCTCTTGAACTAGGGTAAATTTTTTAATGTTTTCCTTTTCTTAAAAGTAAATAGATTTGATTGTTTTATGAATGACTTTTTTGGGGAGAAATATTTCAAATAAAGAGAATTGAGATTTATGGCACAGCATAAGTTTGTGGTAGGAAGAAAAAGATTTTCAAAATACTAGATACAGAATAATTTCTTAGTGTTCAAATTTTATATTTTTCAAAATATTATATAGTTTTCAGTGTCATTGATTTCTCAATGGACTTTTTAGTTATATTATTTTCAGTATAAACATTCCAAATAGTCACTGAATAAAATTCCTATTGCCTGCTGGTGGGGAAAAATTAATTTACTTTCAGTAGGGACTTTAGAAAAATGTTATTTTTTGATGCAAGGGGATGTCAGGTTTATTTGAGTCATTTATGTATTGACTAAAATTTGCTTAGCCCATGTCATTTTTTGCATCAGTATAGGGTTAAAGTAAATGTATCTTAAAAGACTTATTTCTTCCCACCAAAGGGATTTTGGACAGTTGATAAATTATATTTTCATATAGATTTATAAGAAAGAATATAAAATTGAAATGAAAAATGAAATATTTTCATTTAAAAATTCTGTAATAATATCATTTTCTACCTAAAGTATATTGAATTCTAATTTAAATTATATATAAAAACAGTTTATTGTTATAGGAAGAAAAGGAATAAAATTTTTATGATTTTGATGACTTGGATGACTTTCAGCCATTTTGTGAACTTGAAAGGTTGACTTTTATATATACAACTGAGTATGAACTTACAGTTTCTAAGAAACTAAATCTGCCTGATCAGTCCCAATCATGTTATTTTCAACTTGCCCTCTGGTGAAATCCTTTTAAAAATTTACCTTATTATGATTTTTGAAATAAGACATTTGATAGTCTGAGAAAGATGTAGGTAGTGTATTATTGCTCCTATTTAATTTTTTCTATAAACTCTTGAGAGCCACAGAGTTTTTTGGATTTTAGGTTTACAATATCAATGGACTTGGCTTCACTTTCTATTTTTAAAAATCATTGGCATCGAATATCTGTGATCTTTTCCCCATTCAGTGTGATATTTATTATATAACTATAAATATCTAAATATAAATAAATGTAGTTTGTGCCAGTAGCTGTAGCTAGGTTAGTACATTCATTACTGTTAAAATATTGAATGCTAAACATATTCTCAGTCATTTCTCCATGAACTATTACCAAAATTTTGTTTAAACACTGAACTTGTATGAGTAATTTCTCTCCCTTCTCTGTTCCTGTACCATAACTGGGAAATGTTATAGATCAGTTAGAAAAGGTGTCATTCTTGTATAATTGTTTTACTAGAAATGGGAAGTTGTAGAAATGAAATGTATGCAGTTTTCCTTTTGCTTTTTTTTTTTTAAAGCTCCCATGTTTGCACTCCATTTCATGCTTTGATGTTTTTCCTTTATTCCAGAGTGTTCACTTAGGTTGTATGGCTCGTCTCTGACTAAGTTTGCTCTGAAAAGTAGTGATGTTAATATAGACATAAAATTTCCTCCCAAGGTAAGTAATTAGAAGAGAACCTTTCCTGTATGATACTTAACTAGTGCTTGGTAATTTTTATAGATTATCTTTTTAGAGAAGGGGTAGTGGAATATAAAACTCTGATTTGTAGAGTGTTACCATCATGACTAATCAATGCTTTTGGAAATTACTATTAGGTTTCAGACAGAGGCAAAAAGAAAGGGACGGGAAAAAAGAAAGCAAAAGAGGAAGGCAGTCAGAAGGGAAAAATGCTTATATCTGAGCATGTTGAATAGTTATTACTTCTGGTATGCAACATAGAAAGTGGAAAGAGTTTTGAAATCAGACATCGGGGTTCAGATCTTGGCTGCGATGAGCAAGTTACTTGATCTTTTTGAGCCTTGGTTTCCTCATTTTCAAAACAGGGATAATAATAACTTTTATATTAAATGTGATGATATATATTAGGTGTTTTAATATAGTGCCTGGTACATGACGGGTACTTTTAGTAAGGACTAGCTAGTATCATTAGCAGTAGTATCAATATTGTTTAGCACTGCTAACATCGCTTATTTGACATATCAAACATTTAAAATAATTAGTCAATATTTTATGTTTACAAATCTTTGAATAATATGTTTATGCTCAAAAGGTTTGATTTGGGTGACAATTTGGTGTTTTAATTTCTAGTCTGATACATTTAGTTTGCAATTAATACAGGATTATTCAAGTGGCTGCAAAGTATACTTTCAACATTTGACAAGCTTGTTACGTAAAAGTAGTGATTTACTCTAAGCCTTTTGGTCAAGTTGCCAGTTTCTGAAAGTTTTTATCTCAACAACTTCTTTTTAATAGTCATTTGGTAAACTTGTTTCTTTTCCATTTGTTTTGCTGTGAGAACTTTTTCTCACTCTAAGAACCCATTAATTCTATGAATGTTGCTGGAATAATAGTGTTGCGTCATTAATTAGATTCTACTTCTGTGAACAAAATTTGTTGACATAAAAGTAAAACACTATTCTATTTTTATTATTTTAAAATACACAGCATGATTTTATTTAAATGTTACTCTTTAATGAAATGGAGTTCTCCCTAATATTCTGCTACCTAAACTTTGAAATTAGTTTATTGATTTACTTTGAAACTTTTTTTAGATGAATCATCCAGATCTTCTGATACAAGTTCTTGGGATTTTAAAAAAAAATGGTGAGTTTCTTTCTTTTTTTTTTTTTTTAATTTGTCTTTCTAAAGGTATATGCATTGTGTTATTTTATATAGCTAGCCAAGTTAAAACTAAAACTGCTAGCATACTGAGTCATTGTATTACATATGGACATATATATATATATATACATTTGTTTAATAGGTGTATTAGAAAATATAATTTACCTGTCAGGTCAAAAGTACCATATTAAAATAGATATGTGAAAAACTGCTGCCTTTGGGATAATTTAAATATTAGCTTTGAATATTATGGGCATTTCTTGTGTAAAAGAAGAAAGAAAACCTATAATTATTAGGAGGTCATTGATGAAGGAAGTTTAGGAAGAGATTTGGAATAAAATCGCATTGAGTACATATGTTTTTTCTCCCCACTTAAAACAATGATAATCGTTTATTTATATCACCTGAGTCATACCTATTTTTTCATATGTACCTTGTCTATCTGGCTTGCCTTTCTAAACAGGACATTCATATAGGTAAAAATACTTTTAAAATAAAATTTAAAAAATTACAGTATTCTTCAAACCAGGCCCCAGGTCATGTATTACAATCTACAAGATTATTTTCTTGGTTTTTATTTATTGTTTTTTCTTGTATTAAAGTAAATGCTTAAGATTAAGCTCAAGATCTGGAGCCAGATTTCTGGGCTCAGATTTTAGTTCTGCCACTTACTGGTTGTATGTCCTTTGACAAATTATTTCAGTGTTAATATTTTAGTTTTTTCATCTGTTAAATGGCAATAATATAGTATCTTTTTGATGAGAAGGTTGTTGAAAGGATAAAATAGGTTAAGCCATACTTTAGAAAAGTGCCTAGTATACGATAACCTCTTACTATATTTTTGCTGCTGCAATTGTTATTATTACCTTAAATTAGGAATCCAAATTACCTAGCAAAAGTATTTGCAGTTTGGCTTAGAGAGCCCTAGTTTTAGCTTTACCCTCTTATTGGCTTTAATGTCAGTTCTAAACTTTTTTCTTTCTTTCTGCCCCATCAACCCTCTTATTTATCAGCTTCCTGCTGGCCATTGTCCTGAGAAATTAGTTTTTAAGGAATGAGTTTGGTACAGTTTATCCTATAAAGGTATTTTAATGTAGTTTTTTTCTTAGTACATACTTGTTTCTAATTACTTAAAGCTTAAGAGGAGGTATACGTAGCTTTTACCTCTCTAGACTTACTAGATAGGATCAACCTAGTACAAATATTTAAAATATGATTTTTGCACTAAAATATGTAAGTAGATCATCTTTAGTCATATAACATAGGTTTATAAAACTCAGTTTCATTTTAAAATTTATTATTTCCTCCTTTATGTTCTCATTGTATCCTTTAGAGACCTTTCTCCTGTTCTAATACAGGATTTATTTGTTTATATATTTGTATTCCAAACCTCTTATTGAGCTTTAGGTCTTCAGCACATGTTTTTTGAATAAGTCATTCCAACAAGTACTATTGAGAGATTTTCTTTGAATTTCAAATGAAGTAATGTTAATCTGTCTATTTTTGTTTAGATTAGACAATTAAGTCATGGGGCTTTACCTTGGAGATACAGAGAAAGATTCCAGGGTGGAAATGTGCTTCATCCAGTTAGTCCTTCCTTAGCAGCTTTGATTAGGCAGACTCTTCATATATTAACAGGATGTGGCCAGCAGAGTTAGCTTCTACTTGCACCAATAATTTAAAAGAATTAAACTATCAAAGCATTATAGGTCCTCATTTCATGACTCCTGTGGAAATAACCTTCAGAAGTAAGTAATGTCCTCTCTTTGCTGTATCTGTGAAGGGTTAACAACTTTGACTAGATGATCTACTTACTTGGAAATATTCAAACTTTTAGGGATGTTAAGACCTTTCTTCTTAAAGTGATTATAATTTTGGACAGTATTTGGTACTACCTGTGGTTTGCGATATACAACAAATGACACCAAGAGAGGTAAGAGATTCTATTGGGTTGATGCTCATAACGAGAAGAGTGCATTATCCCACAGAAGCAATGCGAGTGATTTTTAGAAGGAAACTATTACTTAATGTTTACCATACAGTAAATATTTTAAAGATATTGACATTAGCTTACTTTTTTTTTTTCCTCATTAGTATTATATGTAGATGTGGAATCTGATTTTCACGCTAAAGTTCCTGTTGTGGTGTGCAAAGATCGGAAAAGGTTGGTAACAGTGAAGAGAAAATATTTAAAAAAAAATAAACCCCAAACAACCAAATTTGTAATGAACTATCTGTAAGAGAGAAAAGTTTTGTTTTAGATTTCTTATTGGATTAATATGACTAAGCTAGTTTCTATTCCTTAAAAATAGCAAGCTTACCAAATGCATGTGAATAAGAAATAGAATTACCAGAGAGTTGAAAATAAAACACTCTAGGTAAAACTTTCATTTTTTTTCTCTCAAGTTCATTCACTCACCCAACAGTATTGAGCATTTACTTATATGTAGGTACTGCTTTGCTCCAGGGATACAAACATAAATAAGAAATAACCCTTCTTCTCAAGAATTTCACAGTCTGTTAGAATCTAGTTTTTAGTTCACTGAAAAGAAATGAGTCATTGAAGACTGATCTTGCCTTTTTTTTTTTAATGACATATAATTTTTTTTATTTCAAAATATTAAGGGGTTAAAAATGTTTTCGTTACCTGGCTTGAGTCAGGGCTATAAATGTGCCCATCACCCAAATAGTGTTTGTTGTACCCATTAGGTGGGTTTTTGCCCCTCCCCTCCTCTTCTCTCCCCCTGCTTGATTTCCAATGACTTTTACTTCCCTCTGTGCACTTGTGTACCCATGAGATAGTTCCTATTATTAGAGAGTACATGTGGTGATTGCTTTTTCTTTTTTTTTTCAGCATATTATGGGGGTACAGATGTTTAACTTTCATGTGTTGCCCTTGCCCCCCTTCCCCCCGCCAAGCTGGAGCTTCAAGTGTGTCCATCCCCTGGATGGTGCGCACTCTTTGTGTATACATATACCTGTCCCCTCCTCCCCCGCCCCCTCTGATCTTGCCTTTCAAGTCTGATGTCTATAGGACTGAGAGAGCAAAGTGCTTTTGAAAAAGGAAACTAAAATAATCCTATCTGAAATCAGTATGGGAGACATAGAAACAATACAGAAATGATAAAGTATTCTTTTATTGATTATTGTATTTCTTACATTTTAAGATTATTGTATTTTCTTATTCAAAACTAGAAGAGTCTGTGGAGATCTAGTTCAAATTCCTTATTTTCTAAATTAGAAAATTGAGACCTGGAGTGGTTAATCCAATTGTCCAAATTCACTTTTTAAGGGAAAATTAGAATTGGAAAGGAGGCAGTCTGACTTCTAGTGTTTTTTTTCCACCACATTGTGTCAAATTGCCTCTGTATGGCAACCTTGGATTCATTCTTCTCCCTGCCTCCATATGTCTCCGTTACACTCTGTCACCCCATTTAAGGTAGCTGCAGTTTTCACTTACATATAACTATAACCTGGGCATTAATATGTAAAACCTTTCTAATCTTTAATCTGAAAATAAAAATCATTAAAGCTCGGAATAGGAAAAATTAGCGTCAAGAAGTATAGCTAGCTAGTTCATTATTTCATTTTTTGCTTTTCTTATGTATAAGCAAAAAGAATGAACTAGGAAATTATGTTGCACAATTTGACATTGAGGAGATCAGTGTCCTTTCATATAAATCAAATTTTGGTGATTCATAATGCTGTTTTTGAAATTAATTTCTCATGAACTTGAATACTAAATGAGGTTGAAATTTCTTTCTTTTTTTTTTTTTTGAGACAGAGTCTCACTCTTTTGCCTGGGCTAGAGTGAGTGCCATGGCGTCAGCCTAGCTCATAGCAACCTCATACTCCTGGGCTCAAACGATCCTTCTGCCTCAGCCTCCCGAGTAGCTGGGACTACAGGCATGCGCCACCATGCCCGGCTAATTTTTTCTATATATTTTTAGTTGGCCGATTAATTTATTTTCTATTTTTAGTAGAGACGGGGTCTCGCTCTTGCTCAGGCTGGTTTCGAACTCCTGAACTCAAACAATCCACCCGCCTCGGCCTCCCAGAGTGCTAGGATTACAGGCGTGAGCCACCGCGCCCGGACTGAAATTTATTTCTGAAGTACAAATGAACATTAAAGACATCTTTCCGCTAGGCGTGGTGGCATGTGCCTGTAGTCCCAGCTACTTGGGAGGCTGAGGCAGGAGGATCACTTGAGGCCAGGAATTTGAGGTTACAGCAAGGTATGATCAGGCTCCTGCATTCCAGTCTGAGCAACAGAGCTAGACCCTTCCTCTTAAAAAAATAAACTAAAATATACATACAAAAAATCTTTATGCAATTTATATGGAACATTAGTAATAGAAATTATATATAGTTTTCAGTTAGCTCTAAATTTGTTAAAACATTTATTTTTATTGTGACTTTTTAGGTACTGTATTAAAATATGGTGACTGTAAAGGGTAGCAGCCACAAGATTTGAATTATACTGCATTTTAAAGTATTAATACAGTGAAATTTGCTTTTTTCTCATTCACAGTGGTTTACTTTGTAGAGTAAGTGCAGGAAATGATATGGCATGCCTCACTACTGATTTACTTGCTGCTCTTGGCAAAATGGAACCTGTCTTTACTCCCTTAGTGCTAGCCTTTCGCTACTGGGCTAAGGTAAGTGGAACAGAAGGAAAAGTATTTAAGCTTCACGATTAGTCAGGCTTTTTCTTGCACTGACATGTAACATAAATTGTAACATGTGGGACAAAGTAATTATCTGTGCCAGACAGAAAGAGGTGTGGCAGGTTCCAGTTAATGGACATCAGAATAAAGTCTAAAAGCCATGTAGACTTACCGATATATTTTAGAATTTTTAATTGTCATAATTTATTCTCCTTATATACTATAGAAATGTTCTCTTTTTATCTTAATATTTGAGGCTCGAGTTTTCACTCTTGTAAGTTAAAGTTGTAAGGTTATAAAATGTGGTATGTAAGTTAAGTTTCTTTTGTTGGCATATTTTTTTCCAATCTGTGAGAATGATACTGTCTTTCCTCTAAATCATTGATAACCTGCAGCAGTTTCTGATTGGGGGATTAGTTATCTAAGTTTCCTAAATTGGAATTAATTTATATATCTAAAGGCTGTGGTTATCCTGTGCTCATTTCTCTGGTGTGGGGGTAGGGAGAAGGAATGGTTAAGTAATTACCAATATCAGTCCAAGTCATCATTGATAACCTACAGTAGTTTCTGATTGGGGGATTAGTTATCTAAGTTTCCTAAATTGGAATTAATTTATATATATAAAGGCTGTGGTTGTCCTGTGCTCATTTCTTTGGTGTGGGGGTAGGGAGAAGGAATGGTTAAGTAATTACCAATATCAGTCCAAGTCATCAGAGAGAGATTTTTTTTTGTGTGTGTGTGTGTTCTTACCATAGTAGTACAATATTCATCACTTGTTAGATTAGTCATGAGTAAATTCTCAGTCTTCTCAGAAAACTGATTAAGAAGGTGGTGGCACAGTGATAACTTCAGAGCAAAAACAGCCAGAGGATTCTCTTTAGAATTTTTTTTTTTTTTTTGAGACAGAGTCTCACTGTGTTGCCCGGACTAGAGTGCTGTGGCGTCATCCTCGCTCACAGCAACCTTAAACTCCTGGGCTCAAGTGATCATCCTGCCTCAGCCTCCTGAGTAGCTGGCACTACAGGCATGCGCCACCATGCCCAGCTAATTTTTTCTATATATTTTTAGTTGTCCGATTAATTTCTTTCTATTTTTAGTAGAGACGGGGTCTCGCTCTTGCTCAGGCTGGTCTCGAACTCCTGAGCTCAAACAATCCGCCCGCCTCGGCCTCCCAGAGAGCTAGGATTACAGGCGTGAGCCACCGCGCCCGGCCAAAATGATTTTTTTTTTTAGAGATGGGATATTGCTATGTTACCTAGCATGGTCTTGAACTCCTGGCCTCAGGTGATCCTCCTGCCTTGGCTCCCCAAAGTGCTGGGATTACAAGTGGGAGCCACTGTGCCTGGCCTGAGAAAAATATTTTTAAAAGGTGTCCACAGTAAAAGCACTACATATAATATAACTCCATTTACCTAAAATATCTATGTATCTTTTTATGCATAAAGAAATGAATGAAAAGATGGTCACCAACATGTTAATGGTTTTTATTTCTAGGTACTGGTATTTTAGATCATTCCTTATATTTTTCTTTGTTGTTTGATCTTTTTATAATGATTAGGGTAGGAAAAACAAGCTACTTTTATTGTGAAAATTAAAAGAAGCTAAGTGGTGGTACTTTTTCCCCCTTCATTTTGCAGTTGTGTTATATTGACTCCCAAACTGATGGTGGAATCCCTTCTTACTGTTTTGCTTTAATGGTGATGTTTTTTCTACAACAAAGAAAATCCCCTCTTCTTCCTTGCTTACTTGGAAGTTGGGTAAGCATGAGTTTGTGATGTATATGTGCATGTATATATGTAGTTTGCTCTTGCAGAGTGTTCTGCTCAAACATTTTAAGCTGGAATTCTGGTTTGTCTGTTTGTCCATCTTTTTTTTTGTAATAATTTTTCCACTACCAATTTGGAATGCCTTTTCATATAGATTGAAGGCTTTGACCCAAAAAGAATGGATGACTTTCAGCTGAAGGGCATAGTAGAAGAGAAGTTTGTGAAGTGGGAATATAATTCAAGTAGTGCAACTGAGAAAAACTCAATTGCTGAGGAAAACAAAGCTAAGGCAGACCAACCAAAAGATGATACCAAGAAGACAGAAACAGACAACCAAAGTAATGCCATGAAGGATAAACATGGCAAAGTAAGCTTTTTTGTTTTTGTTTTTGGCTTTTCTATCTGTAGAATTTGTGATGCCTTCGATTGAAGCTATTGAAATAGTAGATTGACCTTGAGAGTACGCCTCTTGGCCTCATTTTCCTCATCTATAAAGTGAGGGGTTGATCTGGTTTAGTTTTTCAGTACTGAGATACCCTAATGAATTTATATACCTCATTTTGGAAAACTTGTATTGTTTGAATCACGTCAAGGTAATTCTATCTTTTTTCATCTAGGCAAGGAAAATTTCCTTTAGGAGTTGGTCTCTGACCAAACTTACGCATACGGGAATTATTGCCAGATTGGGTGGAGAAATAAAGGCCCTGTGCTTTATGAAAGGGTGGCTTGCTTATTTGATCATTCAACATTCATTTATTAAGGACCTGCTATGTGCCAGTCATTATCTTTAGTGCTAGAGAACGAAAGACAAATATACTTAGATTGTGGCTTCTAGATGCTTGTAGTCTTTTTAGTAGACAGATGCATTATTACAGAAGTCCAAACTTTTCTGAAATCATTGCTTTAGCTATACTAAATTATTTGTAGTTCCCTGGATAAACTTCCCTTCTCCATTCAACTCTCCCACTTTCCTAGACTATCTTCTACTTCTCTCCTCAAACTACCACAGTACTCTCATCTAATGATCTTGCTTATCACTTTGTTGAGAATTCTGAAGCAATCAAAAGAGGACTTCTACATACTCCTACCATTAACCTGTACTCACATACTCTGCCTTGTGGCCTGCCTTTTTTTTTTTTTTTTTTTCCGAAGAGATAGAGTCTTGCTCCATCTCTCAGGCTAAAGTGCAGTGGCATGATCACAGCTCACTGCAGCCTCCAACTCCTGGGGTCAATCAATTCTCCTGCCTCGGCCTCACAAGTAGCTAGGACTACAAGCACATACCACCATGCTTGGCTGTTTTTTAATTTTTTTTTTTTGTAGAGATGGAGTCTCATTGTATTGCCCAGAGGGGTCTTGAACTCCTGGGCTTAAGTGATCCTCCCACCTTGATGTCCTAAAGTACTGAGATTAAAGGTGTGAGCCACTGCACCTGGCCGCTGCCTGGTTTCATAAAGGAGTTTTCTATGTTCTTAACTAAGTCATTTTCTTCATGTGTATTCAGTCCCATCCCTTCTTGTCTATTACAGAACATTAGCAATTTTTCTCTGTTCCTCCTAAATTACCAGTTTTTCATTTTCTACTGAATCAAGCATGCTTTTATTTCTCCCATTTTAAAGAAAAATCTGACACAACTTCCCCTCTCAGCTATTCCTTTGCTCCCTTTTGCAGTAAAGCTTCTTGTAAGAATTATCTATATTCACTATTTTCAACTTGTTTCCCCTTACCTCACACTAACCAGGCTTTCCCCCCATCAATATGTCAAGACTTGTATCATCAATGTCAGCAAACCTCCGCATTACTAAATCCAATGGTCATTTCTCAATTTTTATCTTTTTTGACTTATCAGCAACATTTGCCAGTTGATTACTTCCTTCTCTGAAAAATTTATTTACTTGACTATCAGCATATTACACCCATAGCTAGTTATTCCTTCTCAGTCTTCTTTGTTGATTCCTCCTTTCCTCTCCAGTCTCTTAATATGGAAGTGCTCGAGGGCTCAGTTTGCAATCCCTCTTTTCTTGTGTATGTACAATCCCTTGGTAATCTTATCCAATCCCATGGATTTTATGTACCCTATATATGATGATGGCTCTCAAATTTAAATCTCCAGACTTCTCTCTTGACTTTCATAATTTTATATCCAACTGTTCGTTTAAAGTCTTTACTTAGCTGTCTAATCAGTGTCTTAAACTTAACATGTCTAAACTGAACTCCAGATTCTCCCTTCAAACTTGCTCCATACTCAATTTTCCCATCTCAGTTGATGGCACTTCATCCTTTCATTTGTTTAATTAAAAACCCTGGAGTCATCCTTTATTCCTCTCTTTCTTTCATACCCCGTATCAAGTCTGTCAGGAAATCCTGTCATCTCTACTTCAAAATATATTCAGAATTCGATCACCTCCCACCACCTCTACTGTTACTATGCTGGTCCTCGCCACCATCATCTCTGGCCAAGATTATTGCTACAGTTTCCTAACTGGTTTCCTTGCATAGACTCATGCCCCCTATAGTCTATTCTCATTTTCTTTCTTTCCTTCTTTTTTTTAATTACCACTGTACTAATGAGGACCTTATAGTCTATTCTCAACAATGAGAATGGTTCTTCTAAAACATAGGTCAGATCATGTCCTTCGCCCTCTCCACACTCAAAATGCTTCAGTTGCTCTTCATTTCATTGAGAAAAGAAGCCAATCACGTCCTTACTGGGTAGCTCTTTGCTTTCCTCTTCTACTCTTTCTCTCACTCTACCACATAGCTTTCTTGGTTTTCTTTTATAGCTAGTCACACTCCTACTCTGTGTGTTTGCTCTGTTTCCCATTCCTAGAACACTTTTCCCTCTTCTTCAAATCACACCTTCTCAACAAGTCTTACCCTGACCACTCTATTAAACATTTTTAACCTTCTTCAGCTCTCACATTCCCATACTTTTTATCTTACTCAACTTTTTTTCCCATAGCACTTATCTTCTAACTTACTATGTAATTTACTTATTAAGTTTATCTGTCTTCTTAAGCTCCATGAAGGCAAGGATCTTTTTTCCCCCCTGAAGATATATCCTGAGGGCCTAGAATACTGCCTGGCACATAGTAGGCACTTAATGAATAGTTGTAGAATTGAATGTGTGAATGACTGTTTCATGCCTTTATGTGCTGCCTAGGGGTCACTTTTACCCAGTGTTCATCTAATTCCTTTGGAATTCAGGTATTACCTCTTCTGTTATGACCCACTGATTTAGAGGTCCATCTTAGCATGTAGCCTTTACTGTAATTGTTAAATTGTGTTTCCCTGTCCTGATAGTCTATGAAGTAGTACCTCACCTTACTTGAGTGGCAGTATTCACAACATGGACCCAGTAGCCAGGTGTCTTTAGTCAAATCCTTGCCCTGTAGTATCTACTTCATAGAATTATTAGAATTAATTGTTAATGTATATGTAGCTCTCAGAAGAATGAATGGTACATGAGCTCTCATTATTTTATGATATTCCCAACAATGCTGAGGATGTAGTAGCTTCTACAGAAATGTTTGCTGAATGAAGGAATTAGTTTTTTGAAAGTCAGGGCATTTACTTAGATTTAAAAAGTAATTATTGTAATGAGGAGCTATAGTAGTTATTATGCAGTGGTTTGCAGTCTTGGCTACACATGAGAATCACTTTAGGGAGTTTTAAAAATCCCATAGCCCAGTCCCTCACATAGCCCAGTCAGTTAAATCAGAATCTTGGGAGGGGTTTAGAAGGTGAGGTTGGTGTGGAATTCAGGCATTAGGGTTTTTTAATGCTTCCCATGTGATTCTAATGCGTAACCAAGGCCACTGGTTTGGTGGAAAGAATACAGAATTCCCAGGAGTCAGTAAACTGAGACTCTATTCCCAACTTTGCCTCACACTGATGGCTTTTTGGCCAGTTATTCTCAGTTTTTGAAAATGTGATCTCTAAGGTCTTTTCTAACTGAAAATTCATTGATGCTGTAGTTTTGAAGCTTAAATGAAAAGTATTTTTTCTTTTCCAGTCTCCTTTAACATTGGCAACACCAAATCAGGTGTCCTTGGGACAATTATGGTTAGAGCTGCTAAAATTTTACACACTGGATTTTGCTTTGGAGGAATATGTCATATGTGTACGGATACGAGATATTTTAACAAGAGAAAACAAAAACTGGCCTAAGAGGCGAATAGCCATTGAAGGTGAGATATGATGTTTTATGTTTCAGTTGGAGAATATTTTTTATGTGCCATTAATCATCTATTTTTAAAACCAGTGTTATAAATTTTATCCCTTGGCTTTGTAGCACTATACATGCCATTAGGTTGTTACATATTTAATTAATTCTTTTTCAAGTCCATTATAGTTTTATAGGATTAATACTTATTTAAAGGTTTCTTTTTGTAAGTATTATATTGGTTAGGTTATTAGTTTATTTTATGCATTTATTTTTATTTTTAATTATGAAAATCTTCAGAAATACAGAAAAATAGAAGTGATTATGAACACAACAGAAATACAGAAAAATAAAAGTTATGAACACTACATAAACATCCTTTTGAATAAATTTGTGTCATAAGATTGTGTTAAATTATAATTTTAAAGTCCAGTTTTCATTGTCTTCTAAAGTACATCATCTGTTAAATGTGGCTAAGTTAAAAGAAAATAGAACAATTGATGTTGACAAACAAGGTTCCACTTCGAGTCCCAAAAACATTAGGATCTTTGGAGATACAGAAATTAGTAGAGTGACTTCTAAGTTCCTAATCAGAAATTTAGGCTGGACGTGGTGGCTCACGCCTGTTATCCTAGCACTCTGGGAGGCTGAGGTGGGTGGATCGTTTGAGCTCAGGAGTTCCAGACCAGCTTGAGCAAGAGCAAGACCCCGCCTCTACTAAAAATACAAAGAAATTCGCTGGACAACTAAAAATATATAGAAAAAATTAGCCAGGCATGGTGGCGCGTGCCTGTAGTCCCAGCTACTCGGGAGGCTAAGGCAGAAGGATTGCTTGAGCCCAGGAGTTTGAGGTTGCTGTGAGCTAGGCTGACGCCACGGCACTCTAGCCTGGACAATAGAGCGAGACTGTGTCTCAAAAAAAAAATTAAAAAAAAGAAATTTAAATTCCACAGCATTTCACTCATCTTTATAGATAGGAAATTGAATTTATGTCCATTATTTTAGTCTCTCCAGCCTATACATTATTCTGTTTCCTCACTCCTCTGCTGACCTTCTCTACTGTTAATTAGACCCAGAAATATTCTGAAAATATTCTGAAATAGACACTCAAACATGTACTCACATCTTATACTCTGTTACTCATAGTAAATAAATGAAGCCTGAAGACTCCATCTATAATTTCTCTCTCTTTTTTCTTTTCCTTCCTTTTTGCCTTCCTGCCTCCCTCCCCCCTCCCTCCCTTCCTTCCTTCCTTTCTTCCTTTCTTTCTTTTTTTCTTTTCTTTTTTTTTTTGTTACCTTTTTCTTTTTCTTTGAAAAGGGGGGAAAAAGCTAGCAAAGCTTTTTAAAGCCTATGGATTTAAATAGCAGCAAAAAGTAACAGATGCCCTAACTTTAACAATTTGAAGCCTGGCCTTTTAATCCTTTTAGTTAATGATCTTTAGTAGTGGAGAACATATATATTGTGTTTTGAGTGGCACTTGTTCATTTTTCTTGTTTTTTTTTTTATATTTAAGTATTAAAAATCTGATAAACCCGTATTTTCAGAAGTCTGTTATATGTTATTAACGATAAGAGTACAGTTGATGCAGGACTTTTGAGGGTTGCCATTTCAGACTGGATCAGAGTATAAATTTTGGTATAATTTTTACTTTTTAGGTCTCTTTTTACTTTTCTTTCTACTTCTTTTTCTTTATTTTTCTGATCTCATCAAAGTTAAACCTTAAAATCAGTATTTTTCACATTGAAGCTTTGAGTTTTAGGTTATGTTTTATTTAAATTGCAAAGAGCATATAACTAACATTAATGAATACTATGACCAGAGATGAAAATTATTAATGGGTCCTGGAGCTTGAAAATTTTTATTCAGTGACAATGTATAGGAGTCATAGTAGCATAGCTTCTTTTTCCAGCAATTTCATCATTGAAACTTTGTAATTACTCAGTTGGCCTTCTTAGCCATTCTCTTATTAGTTACCTTATTATTGTTCTTTTCTCTCTTTCCCTTTTAGCTCTTTATTTTATGGGAGAAACAAAGGAAAAGATATTGCTATTGTGTTTTCCTAACTCAGTTTTCAGCAACTTTCATTGGGACCTTAGGTTAGAAAAACCTTGAGAAAATGTACTGCTTATAATCTAGCAGTTAGGATCTATTTGTGTAAGCTTGGAAATGTAGTTTGTTAGTAGAGACTTAGCTATTGACCATTTTCTTTTTTACTAGATCCATTTTCAGTCAAGAGGAATGTTGCACGGAGCTTAAACAGCCAGCTCGTTTATGAATATGTTGTGGAGAGATTCAGGGCAGCTTATCGGTATTTTGCCTGTCCTCAGAGGAAGGGTGGAAGTAAGTCTACAGTGGACTTCAAGAAAAGAGAAAAGGGGAAAATAAGCAATAAGAAACCAGTGAAGTCTGACAATATGGCAACGAACTGTTACATTTTGCTTGGGGAAAGCACAGAAAAAATAAATGTAGAAAAAGATCAACCTGATAAATATGAAATGGAATGTACATCACAGAGATGTATCGTTGACAATGACAGTTTGTTGGTAAATGAACTAGATTTCGCTGACTGTGGACAGGAATCTTCATCTCTTTCTACCAGCGAAGGCAGTGAATTAGAACCAAAATTGGTTAAGAAACAAGGTGGTTTAGTACCTTCAGGAACTTGTTTAAAAAAAGAGCTCAGCAAGTGTAATTGCATTGATTTATCTAAGTCCCCTGACTCAGGTGAATCCGCTGGAACAGACTGCAGGTCAAATTTAGCAGCGAAGAGTTCACATCAGATTGTGTGCACCGACACATCTGCTACCTCTTGCAACTGCAAAGCTACAGAAGATGCATCTGACTTTAATGATGACGATAATCTCCCCACCCAGGAATTATATTATGTGTTTGATAAGTTTATTTTAACTTCTGGCAAGGTAGGATACAATTTGTAATCAATCTGTAAGATTTGTTTGTATGACTCTGTATTTCTTTATATTAATAGTTTTATTATTTTATTAATGGTTTGTAGTTCATTTTGTTGCTATTAAATATGAATTGTTCTTTGTATGAAGCTAATTTACTTTGAGTTCAGTTCATAGTTTGGTCTCTTGAGTGCTAAATTTAGAAATGTAAGAATAGCTTGTATAATAGTTACTGTTGTTTTGGAATGACATTTCAGCTTGTATTTGTCTTTTACTTTTTGCATTTTTCCTATAGTTGCCTTTAGATAATATGTATAAAACCCCAGAAGGTTTCATGACACTATTACTAGTTGGTTTTCTTCAATTTCTCATATATGAAAGGATTCATGTGATATTTATGAAAAACAATTTAGCAAAGGCAGCATATATTAATATTTTAAATTTTGCTTATTTTCGTACATATAATTATTCTTTTTCTAAAAAGAATACAAGGTTTATAAATTACAGTATTCTATTTTAAAGAATTTTTTTTTGTGGGGGGAGAGTATAAGCATAGGTAGTTGAGGGAAACTAGGTTAGCAATCAAAAAACTGAAGAATCCAGATTCTGTTTCTGCCACAGACCTTTGCTGGATTTTGACTTATTCCTTAAATTATAGGAGTCCTAACTTTTCTACTTTTAAAGTGATATAATCTGAACTTTAACTCTTTAAGTCATAGAAAATGCCCCAATGAACAGAAAATAAATAATAACTGCTTTTTAAATAAAGTTTTAGCTAAGTCACATTGCTTCAAGTACAATGCACATAATTGAAATATCATCATCTGGATGAAAAAATGATTATACAGATCATAGGTAAGACAAGTAGAATGTTAAAAAAAACTATAAAGTTACCTAGTTTTATTATTTTATCCATAATCACTTGTTGACAAGCTTTATGATTTTTAACCTCATTACTAAGCAGTATTTCTTTTTTGTTTTTAAATCTGCTTTATTGAGATATGATTAACATTCAAAAAGCTGTAGATATTTAATGTATACAATGGGATGTGTTTGGAGAGAAGTGTACACCTGGGAAATCATCATCACTATGAATGCCATAAACTTGTCCATCATCTCTAAAAATCCCTCTTCCTCTTACTTTCCTTTTGCGATGAGCACTTAAGATCTATCCTCTTAGCAAATTTAAGAATATAATACAGCACTGTTAATCATAGGCCCTTCATTGTACAGTAGACCTCCAGAACTTATTTATTTTGCATTAATGAAACTTTGTACCCTTTTACCAACACCTCCCCATTTTCTCATCCCAGTAAGCAGTATTTCTTCATTCTACGGAAGTACACATTGGTTGCAGTTTATGTAGGTTGTAGTATTTAGGGCCTGTGGACTAATGAAAGGATAAAATACTTGGCAGATTTTTAGAAAACCTTCTTAATTATATAACTGCAGTTTATATTTCTTATACTTTATACTTTTTTTCTGAAAATTTAAGGTAAGTACTGTTTCTCCAATTTTTATTAGTTATCTAACTTTTTTTTAGACTTTCCTGCCTAAATATGTCATTTTTTTTTAAAGCTTTGGAAAGCTGATACCGTGCAGTGTAGCATTACCACAAACAGGTTTCTGTGTATAATTTGCATCAGAGTTCGTGACTATGTGAATGTCCAGGCTAAAACTGGAGCAAAACACTAACTCTAGGATCTAGGCATATTACAATGAGGAAAAGAACGGTGGTCTTCTTTAACCATATGTATTTTTTTC